TTTTACAAAACCTACAAGCTTTGAGCAAAATATTAGGTCAAACTTTATGGTGGGCACTTCAAACTGTTTTGACAACAAAATACTCATAGGCAGGCATGGACCTTTGATTTTTTTGATGGGTTTGGTGTGTTGTCACAATTTTATCTAAACTTTTGACTAATTTTCTTAAGGGCCACCAAATTTCGAAATTTCCCAAAACACTACTATCTTTTTGAAAAATTTTGACAATATTTTTGAAAAATTTCGAAAAGCAGGCCGAAAAGTACCATTTCTTGCAGTTTTTTCAATTATTGATTTTGGACTCCAAATTAATTGAATAATGCTAATGTACCTGAATTTTGGACTGAAAACAAAAACTGTTGATTACAAAAAAAAATGTTCAAAGAAAGATTCGCGGAAAATCAAAAGGGATAATAAAAGTCAAGGAGTGACTTTCTTTCAGAAGACAAATCAAAATCTCTAGTATTGATTTTGGTTGAAATTTTTTTGACTAACATAGTACTAAAAATTTTGAATTATTATTTTGTGATTTTCGAAAAAAAATAGCTCCGGCAAATTTTGTGAAAACAACAAAAACGCAAATTAACTATTGCATCGTTTTTCCCAAGATTGAAAGGCCCAAAACGTGTTCTTCCGGGCTCAACTATTTGACTTGTGTCCTTATTTTTGATAAATTTCCAAATATTTGTAAGCGAGTGGTATGCTTGGACCAATTTAGTCATGGTATTCTTGAACAGATCTGTGAGCACATTTTTTGAACTAATTAAGAGCTTTTTTTAACATTTGTGGGAGGAACAAAAGTCATGACACCGAATTGATTGCAATAAACACAGAAAAGATTAAAAGAAACTTCGATTAATTAGGCAGCTAAACCAAATATTATTTGCGATTTGTGTTCTCTCGTAAATTTCGGCATCGGTATATCATGGTTAACTTCTGAAAAAATGTTGCTCTGAAGTTCGGCTAGCCTCGAGAGAACGGGAAACGAAGTTCAAGCCGTATGCATTAGTTAGGCAAAGCTATTGTTAATATAATTTGCGCAAACAAAATTATTCTTGGCTCAATTTGAGAAATTCTTCGTAACTGCGGAGAGCTATTAAAAAACTCTGCAAAAGTTTATGTAGTTTTTCGTGGCTACTTTGTTAATTTTACAAGGTGTATGGTTTTATTTTAAATAGTTTCTAATGAGTTTTTTCCAACCTTCGAAAAAAGACGGAATATTTGTGCTCGATTGGTTTTTTCTCAAGAAAAGTTTTGACTTCATAACTAGCTATTTTTGATGGAATTAATAGAAAAAAAAGTTGAAAGTAACTGTTGTTATGAGCTAAAATTCAGAAAAAATTATTCATGCGTGATTATTTTTTTGTTAAGTTATTGGGGTTAAACGATTGTCAACTTGGCGATATAATTTGTGCTATAAACGCGAAGGCGGAGATTTAATCCGTCTTAGAAATCGTTTCAAAATGAATCGAGGCATACTTGACTCAATAATAAGAGGATTCGCTAGGAAAACTTAGGTGGAGAGAGGGGGGAGTGGTTGGCTATTTTTTTTTGGGGGGGGGGGAGGGGAGGGGGGAGGCTGCCATGGGCGCTATAAGATCCTCAACAGGGCCAAAAATTTCAGTTGGAAGTCAAAACTGATGACAATGCATTTCGCCAAACTTTTACTGGCCTAGTGAAAAATCCTAATTTTGGGATCGTAACTATTTGAGGTCTCCCTCCAAGTACTTTTCGAGAACCCAAAAAACGGTGGTTCCCGGGCGAATTTCATTTTTGGAGCTTTGATTTTATGACTTCAATGAACATTCATTCTTAGATTCTGTGCTTTCAATTTATGTCTCAATCACCACAGTCTATTTCAAAAATTCGATTACAAACACCGGAGTGATCCATTATGTAGTCAATTTTTTCTTAAAAACTATTTCGGTCCTGAGGATTAATTGTTTGACTGAATTTAATTGATCCCGTCGAGATTATTGAAGTACAGGTGTTTTTCTGTGTTTAAAGTTGATAAAACGAATGGTATTTTCTTAAATCAAGTTTAACGAGATCAATTATAGAAACAAAGACCATTAGTTATTAAAGAATTATGAAGTTTTGTTTTTAATTTACCATCCTGAAGAATACATGTCTGTAAATGTATGCTAAAAGCTCCCATTGCAATAATTACTGGTAAGTTGTAACTTTTTCACCTGTTTTGTGGCTCTTATTTTCCTCGCTGTTACTTAACTCCCGTGATTCAAATGAAAAAAAAAAACTTTTTTGCCTATGGTATTTGTAAAAAACTTGAACTGCTGGCATCATCATAAATCCAGCGTGAGTAAATATCAATCGATCTTTAAATCGACAAAATCTTCAGTTATTTTTCCAGTTGTCTTGTCTTAGATTTTTGTACGGTCTTCTTGTTCTGAGCCTTATACATTGACCATTTTGTGAGGTATTTACTGAAGTCGAAGTGAGTTCTCATTTCTATCAGACTTTTGCATACATCTTTGGCTTTTACAGAAACTCTGAATGTTTGAATATGGCAATTCTAATAGTTAAAATTGAATTTGATTTGAATATAATGGGAAACAAACATAAAATTCTGAGCCGATTCCAATTTGTCTGCCCCGACTAATGTCGACTAATCCAAGCAGATGGAGCTCGGAATAAAAGTTATAGTGGCAGCATTGTCAACCATTTTTTGAAAAAAGTTTACTTAGCTTTAACAAAATTTCTTAATTGTTTCATTTTTGTCGCCAACAATGCTGAACTTTTTCTGGTTTGCTTACGATTTGTTTTACCGAAAGCAAAGTTAAACATAAAATGATAAAAAAAAATCTCATCCTCTGGTTTCTTTGCTGACGCCATCAGTTTGATGTTCATATCAAAGATTAGAGCCAGCCATTTAGACTGTCTAAACTGTAACAGCCGATGATTTTAAGTGATTCTTACTCCTATTTGTTTGCATAGATGAAAAGTCAGGTAATCTAGCTTATACTTTTTTGGCGTGTATAGACTGAATACACTTAGGTAGTTTTGACAAACTGGTGGTACCTATTACTGCAATCAATTCAATTTGATCAGTCCTCAAACCCGTAAGTTCAACAGCTTCTTTAAAGGACGCTGGTAGTTAATCGTAGAAAAAGTCTTGCAGTTCACCGCCAGATCTACTCCCGCTATGCTCACCAATTCTTTGTCTCTATCGGTCGGCTTTCCTTTCGCTAGTTCCACAAAAATTCATTCAATGCCAGCGACTGATGCTTCGTAATACCTCCATAAATTTCATTGTCATGGTGGTTATTTATGTAGGATTAATTTTTTGTCTTACTTACTGGTTTCCTGCTTTCCAATATTTTTTCCATAGACTGATAAAATTTTACCAAGTATCATTGTCTCCACAAACTCGAGATGGTCACGTCCAAAGTCTGTTCGGCGTACTTGTCACTGACTAGGTTGCTTGCGCTGTTATAGTGAGCGCAGTTGACTAGTTACTTAATATAACAAACCGATCAAATTTCTTAAAATGCCAAAGCTAGTAGAAAACAAGAAACAGTTCTGTAGCAAGGAAGAGAATTGGATTCCACGTATCGATCAGCAACGGAGACTTTTGATACGATTGAACGAACATTTTTGGTAACATTGTACTGGTAGTCGTGACTCTGACTTTCACACCGGTGAAACTGTTTTTCCACGGTCTTCAGCCAATTGTGACTTCTTGAATTGGTAAAAAATGTCACAGTAGCTATAGATGCAACCTCTTCTGATTCAAAATTTTTTTATTTCGTTGAACTCATTGTGATATATAGATCCACCCGAGAGAGAGAGAGAGAGAGAGAGAGAGAGAGAGAGAGAAGATATAGGTCTATCACAAAAAATGGAATTTTTTTGAGATTCGAAATGGTATCAATTCATCTGACAAAAATCTGAACAAAAAGAAAAAAAAACGATTTTAGGTTTTTTTTGGGAAGTTAACTCACCGAAATACGTTGAATGGGACTTTGTCAATCTTTCAAGTCTTTCACTGAGTTTTCTCGACATTGATTGATTTGAAAGATTTGAAAAACAACTCGACGTATTTCAAAGAGTTGAATTTTAAAAAAAATTTCTTAACTCTTTTTCATTTCCCGTACCGATAAATTCGCGCACATCATTTTTCTTTCTGTTTAGATTTTTGTCGGATGATCTGATACCAATATGGATTTTCGAATAATAGAATTTTTTGTAACACTACCATCTTTTTGAAAAACGTTGACAATATTTTTGAAAAATTTCGAAAAGCAGGCCGAAAAGTACCATTTCTTGCCATTTTTTCAATTAATGATTATGGACTCAAAATAAATTGAATAAATGCTTAGGTACCTGAATTTTGGACAAAAAACTGTTGATTACAAAAAAAATGTTCAAAGAATGATTCGCGGAAAAACAATGGAGATAATAAAAGTCAAGGAGTGACTTTCTTTCAGAAGACAAATCAAAATCTCTAGAATTGATTTTAGTTGAAACTTTTTTGATTAACTAAGAACTAAAAATTTTGAATTAATATTTTGTGATTTTCGAAAAAAAAACAGGTCCGGCAAATTTTGCATCGTTTTTCCCAGGATTGAAAGGCCCAAAACGTGTTCTTCCGGGCTCAACTATTACACTTGTGTCCTTACTTTTGATAAATTTCCAAAGGATTGTAAGCGAGTGGTATGCTTGGACCAATTTAGTCATGGTATTCTCGAACAAGTCTCTGAGCATATTTTTTGAACTAATTAAGAGCTTTTTTGGACATTTGTGGGAGGAACAAAAGTCATGACACCGAATTGATTGCAATAAACACAGAAAATATCAAAAGAAACTTCGATTAATTAGGCAGCTAAGCCAAATTTTTTTTGCGATTTGTGTTCTCTCATTTTTTTCGGCATCGGTATATTATGATTAACTTCTGAAAAAATGTTGCTCTGAAGTTCGGCTAGCCTCGAGAGAACGGGAAACGAAATTCAAGCCGTATGCATTAGTTAGGCAAAGCTATTGTTAATATAATTTGCGCAAACAAAATTATTCTTGGCTCAATTTGAGAAATTCTTCGTAACTGCGGAGAGAGCTATTAAAAAACTCTGCAAAAGTTTATATAGTTTTTCGTAGCTACTTTGTTAATTTTGAAAGGTATATGGTTTTATTTTAAATCGTTTCTAATGAGTTTTTTTCCAACCTTCGAAAAAAGACGGAATATTTGTGCTCGATTGGTTTTTTCTCAAGAAAAGTTTTGACTTCATAACTAGCTATTTTTGATGGAATTAATAGAAAAAAAAGTTGAAAGTAACTGTTGTTATGAGCTAAAATTCAGAAAAAATTATTCATGCGTGATTATTTTTTTGTTAAGTTATTGGGGTTAAACGATTGTCAACTTGGCGATATAATTTGTGCTATAAACACGACGGCGGAGATTTAATCCGTCTTAGAAATCGTTCCAAAATGAATCGAGGCATACTTGACTTAATAATAAGAGGATCCACTACGAAAACTTAGGTGGAGGGAGGGGGTGGTTGGCTTGTTTTTTTTATGGGGGGGGGGGGGGGTTTGGAGGCTGCCATGATCCGTATAAGTTCCTCAACGGGGCCTTAAATTTCAGTTGGACGTCAATACTGATGACAATGCTTTTCGCCCACCTTTTACTGGCCTAGCGCAATAATTCTAATTTTGAGATCTTAACTGTTTGAGGTCTCCGTCCAAGTCTTTTGCGAAAACCCAAAAAACGGTTCTTTAATTTTATGACTTCAATGAACATTCATTCCTATATTCTGTGCTTTCATATATGTCTCAGTTACCACAATCAAAATCAAACATTCGATTCAACAAACACCGAAATGGTCCATTAGGTGGTCAATTTTTTCTTAAAAACTATTTAGGTGCTGAGGATTAATTGTTTGACGGAATTTAATAGATCCCCCCGAGATTATTGAAGTTACAGGTGTTTTTCTGTGTTCAAAAATGACAAAAACGAATGGTATTTTCTCAAATCAAGTTTTTGTCAATAACGAGATAATTTATAGAAACAAAGACTATTCGTAGTTAAAGAAACATAAAATTTTGTTCTTAATTTACCATCCTCAAGAATAAAAGCTCCCATTGCAATAAGTACTGGTAAGTTGTAACTTTTTCACCTGTTTCGTGGCCCTTATCCTCCTCGTTGTCATTTAACTCCCGTGATTCAAATGAAAAATAAACTTTTTTGCTTATGGTAGTTGTAAAAATCTGGAACTGCTGGCAATATCATAATCCAGCCTGCGTAAATATCAATTGGTCTTCAAATCGACAAAATCTTCAGTTATTTTCTCAGTTGTCTCGTCTTAAAAGTTTTGTATGGTCTTCTTCTTATGAGTTTTATACATTAACCATTTTGTGAGGTATTTACTGAAATCGAAGTGAGTTCTCAGTTCTGTCAGATTTTTGCATACATATTTGGCTTTTACAGAAACTCTGAATATTTGAATATGGCACTTCTAATAGTTAAAATTGAGTTTGATTTGAATATAATGGGAAACAAACATAAAATTCTGAGCCGAGTCCAATTTGTCTGCCCCGACTAATGTCGACTAATCCAAGCAGATGGAGCTCGGAATAAAAGTTATAGTGGCAGCATTGTCAACCATTTTTTGAAAAAAGTTTACTTAGCTTTAACAAAATTTCTTAATTGTTTCATTTTTGTCGCCAACAATGCTGAACTTTTTCTGGTTTGCTTACGATTTGTTTTACCGAAAGCAAAGTTAAACATAAAATGATAAAAAAAAATCTCATCCTCTGGTTTCTTTGCTGACGCCATCAGTTTGATGTTCATATCAAAGATTAGAGCGAGCCATTTAGACTGTCTAAACTGTAACAGCCGATGATTTTAAGTGATTCTTACTCCTATTTGTTTGCATAGATGAAAAGTCAGGTAATCTAGCTTATACTTTTTTGGCGTGTATAGACTGAATACACTTAGGTAGTTTTGACAAACTGGTGGTACCTATTACTGCAATCAATTCAATTTGATCAGTCCTCAAACCCGTAAGTTCAACAGCTTCTTTAAAGGACGCTGGTAGTTAATCGTAGAAAAAGTCTTGCAGTTCACCGCCAGATCTACTCCCGCTATGCTCACCCATTCTTTGTCTCTATCGGTCGGCTTTCCTTTCGCTAGTTCCACAAAAATTCATTCAATGCCAGCGACTGATGCTTCGTAATACCTCCATAAATTTCATTGTCATGGTGGTTATTTATGTAGGATTAATTTTTTGTCTTACTTACTGGTTTCCTGCTTTCCAATATTTTTTCCATAGACTGATGAAATTTTACCAAGTATCATTGTCTCCACAAACTCGAGATGGTCACGTCCAAAGTCGTTCGGCGTACTTGTCACTGACTAGGTTGCTTGCGCTGTGATAGTGAGCGCAGTTGACAAGTTACTTAATATAACAAACCGATCAAATTTCTTAAAATGCCAAAGCTAGTAGGGAACAAGAAACAGTTCTGTAGCAAGGAAGAGAATTGGATTCCACGTATCTATCAGCAACGGAGATTTTTGATACGACTGAACGAACATTTTTGGTGACATTGTACTGGTAGTCGTGACTCTGACTTTCACACCGGTGAAACTGTTTTTCCACGGTCTTCAACCAATTGTGACTTCTTGAATTGGTCAAAAATGTCACCGTATCTATAGATGCAACCTCTGCTGATTCAAAGTTTTTTGATTTCGAGGAACCCATTGTGATATATAGATCTACCCGAGAGAGACAGAGAGAGAGAGAGAGAGAGAGAGAGAGAGAAGATATAGGTCTATCGCAAAAAAAATGGAATTTTTTTGATATTCGAAATGGTATCAGTTCATCTGAAAAAAATCTGAACAAAAGAAAAAAAAACAATTTTAGGTGTTTTTTTGAGAAATTAACTCACCGAAATACGTTGAAGTGGACTTTGTCAATCTTTCAAGTCTTTCAATGAGTTTTCTTGACATTGATTGATTTGAAAGATTTGAAAAACAACTCCATGTATTTCAGTGGGTTGAATTTTAAAAAAATTTCCTAACTCTTTTTCAATTCCCGTAACGTTAAATTCGCGCACAGCATTTTTCTTTCTGTTTAGGTTTTTGTCGGATGGTCTGATACCAATAAGGATTTTCGAATAATAGAATTTTTTGTGATAGAATTACACCTTGTTTTGGATGGATCAATTTATCTTGATGTGATCATCAGTGATTTTTTCAAAATTTTGAAATTTCACTCGAAACAGATTAATTTGTATAAAATCAGTCAAATTTCAGCAACAGCGATGATCCGACAGCAATCAAAAGTTGTTTGTAGGCTTAAAAACTACCGAAAAAAAACTTATATGCAAAAAAAAAGAGACACTGTGTTTAAACTGGTCAAAAATAGACGAGAAAATACGCTGCATCAGACTGTTGGTTTTGCGAGCAGATATTTGAGGAAGCTGCAGAAAAAGTGTTGGATCACTGTCAGCATGCAAACAACTTCTAAGCTGAACACACAGCAGGGGCAATATCAACCGCAAGACCACAAGCTTACTTCTCGTATTAGCAAACACATGAGCAAAGTATGATCCTAACCGTATCATACGAGCATTAGGCCAAAGCAATCCAAACAGTCTGTTTTCTCTAATTCGAAAAAACTTAGAAACTTCATCCAACTTTTAATTTCAGTGTGGATATAGTTGTTTTGCAACAAAAAAGAAAATTACAAAAAATATATTCGAAATAATGATTTTTATAGACCCTTATAATTTTATTTTATTTCACTTATCAATCCTTCTGAAAAAAAAATTGATTGCTGTATTGACTTCAGCTGAGGTCAATGCTAGAAACAGTTGCTTTTCTTTCATAGCCTAAATTTGATGGAAAAATTTTAATTCAAAAAAAGCAGCTTTTTGATGAAATCTTCTTTGACTCAAAACACAGCTATCACCAACTAAAATTAGTAAAAGTCGATCTATTCAGTTTAAAAACTTTATAAAATTGAATACTTTTTTTTGAAATAGAAAAAGTGATAAAGAAAAAGTAATGAATAGGTAGAACGAATTTTAGCCCGTCTAAAAAGTAATTCAATCTACAATCGAAATAACCCGAAGTTTCCTTAGCTTATAAAAATTATTCGGCTGCTGAAATTACCCGAAAATACCTTAGATAAAAAAGGAAAATGTAGTTTGCCTGCTGATACCAAATTTACATTAAAAAACATTTGAGTTGTTAACAGAAATTGCATTTCGAAATAGAAAGTTACCTTGGCAATTTTACCAAGTATCATTGTCTCCACAAACTCGAGATGGTCACGTCCAAAGTCTGTTCGGCGTACTTGTCACTGACTAGGTTGCTTGCGCTGTGATAGTGAGCGCAGTTGACAAGTTACATAATATAACAAACCGATCAAAATTCTTAAAATGCCAAAGCTAGTAGAAAACAAGAAACAGTTCTGTAGCAAGGAAGAGAATTGGATTCCACGTATCGATCAGCAACGGAGACTTTTGATACGATTGAACGAACATTTTTGGTAACATTGTACTGGTTGTCGTGACTCTGACTTTCATCCTGGTGAAACTGTTTTTCCACGGTCTTCAGCCAATTGTGACTTCTTGAATTGGTCAAAAACGTCACAGTAGCTATAGATGCAACCTCTTCTGATTCAAAGTTTTTTGATTTCGATGAACCCATTGTGATATATAGATCTACCCGAGAGAGAGAGAGAGAGAGAGAGAGAGAGAGATAGAGAGAGAGAGAGAGAGAGAGAGAGAGAGAGAGAGAGAGAGAAGATATAGGTCTATCACAAAAAATAGAATTTTTTTTGAGATTCGAAATGGTATCAGTTCATCTGACAAAAATCTGAACAAAAAGAAAAAAAACGATTTTAGGTTTTTTTTTTGGGAAATTAACTCACCGAAATACGTTGAATTGGACTTTGTCAATCTTTCAAGTCTTTCAATGAGTTTTCTTGACATTGATTGTTTTGAAAGATTTGAAAAACAACTCCACGTATTTCAGTGAGTTGAATTTTAAAAAAAATTTCTTAACTCTTTTTCATTTCTCGTACCATTAAGTTCGCGCACATCATTTTTCTTTCTGTTTAGGTTTTTGTCGGATGATCTGATACCAATATGGATTTTCGAATAATAGAACT